CAGTTTGCCTCTGAAGAAGAATTTGTTAAGATCGCAACGTCAGGCCGCATTCAATTTTTAGATTTGTAGGTCAATCCAGTCAGAGTTTGCAGCAGTCTTTAATGCCATCGTTTGTTTTTAAGAATTATTGTTCAACCAATACACATTTTTTTTTCATATCAAATGTGACTCATAATAAGAAATCCCTTTTCTACGATGTGAATTACTAGAAATTGAGCCAACCGCTCTGATTTGCTGAACTGCATGTATAGCTTGGCTCCTGAGACAATTTCTAGATGGCCTTCAACATCTTGCAAGAATCAATCACACTGTGCAGACTGGCTGTGATGTTATTCGATAGGATCACCCTACAAGGTGCTTGGGTCGACCCGGTACGGTCTTAATGGGTCACACCGTTGCCATAGCGACGCGTCTCCCCATTGCGTTAAAGGAGCACACACTGACAGCCTCGCTGGAAGATTTACAGTCTGCGAAACACACACTTTTTATTGGGCATCACCGCATCAGAGAAATCCCAAGTTTAGAATGAGCAAGGATTGGTATAACAGATGTGTGGGTGATTTTGAGTGAAGGTATAGTCCCGAATACAAGATCATATGACGATTAAGTAAGATTTGAGGCTTTGCATGGTGGAGATACTAAATAATGAAAGGTTTGCGGAAACACCATGTGCGAATAATTTCTCAACTAAGAGAATGGTTCTGAAAAGAACCAGAGGTATAAACTCGACGTTCCGGTTAGTATGCTCTGATCGACCTCTCCTGAAAACGGTCAGAGCATACTGACCGGAACGTCGAGTTTATACCTCTGGTTCTTTTCAGAACCATTCTCTTAGTTGAGAAATTATTCGCACATGGTGTTTCCCGGCAAACCTTTCATTATCATGACGATTGTTTTCAGTATACCATGGAGGGTAAAAAATACATTTAGCGGCCTATTGTTTATGTAAAAATGCATGCAGTCATTCATTAAAAAAACAACGTTCGTGCTCTACGGTAAAGTTTAACCTGTTCAGCAACATTTCAAAATGTTAGGAGCCAGAGATAATTTTAAGCTATATAATCTGAAAATGACGAAGTGTACACCTCATATACCTTTTATGTGTAATTTTAGTTCGTGGAAGCCTGTTGAGCACAGCGGTCCCCTGTACTCGGTCATTGTTATCACTTCTCGATAATGTTGACACAACGGAACAGACGATTATTATCATGAAACCTCGTGCGTCGAATGACTCCCATGTATCTGCATGGTGACCCTTTATGTTGTTGTTGTTGTTGTTGGAAGGAACAAGGACGAACTTGTTTTTTCATACTCATGATTTCTTGGGGTTTTCTTTTTAGGGAGGGGATGACTTTTGGATGGGGACTTGCAGGGCTGAGACTGCGGGGGGGGGGGGGGCTCGGGGACCTGGGAGAATAGGGGGGAATGGGTGTGCACTCAGTGGTTATGATAACGCTGAAAAGACTAATTTTACCTTCCCAAATTTTTAAATGAATGTTAACCAAGTTGGTTGTTGAGATTGTTCATAATTCCACCTCAGACTGTTACTTTGTATAAATCGTGTACTCTGTTTAATTTAAACTGGCTGTGGGGTTTTGAAGCTCTGGTTTCACAGAAAAATTGAACTCCCGAAATCATATTGTTGTTAATTTAATGGGTTTGGGGAGGGGGCAAATGTCCCTGCCCACCCTCGAAAAAAGATCAATCGGGAAAATGCTGGAAAATATAGAGGTGTTTTTTTTGGAGGGGGGGAAATATGTGCTTTGCCCCCCTCTAGAAAAAAATCCTGGCGACGCCCATGGTTCGCGGCAATTAATGCGTAATTTCTTGGAAATAAAAAAAATGCACTCATGATAATCTCCCAACACGATCCGGGAAAGCAACATAGGCCCTACGTCAGATGTTAGCTTGCAGGTCACGTGATTTGATTATTGTTTTCTTTTCTATTCTCGTTTCTATTTTTCGGGCGGAGAGCACGGCAATCACAATCATCCCTTGAAAGAGGTAAAACAGATATTACGAAATAACGTGTGGACACCTCACGAAACTCAAAAGAGTCTGGTAAATATGGGTTGATATTTTGCCAGTGAGTTGGCCAAGGTACCAACTCTTGGGCAAATTCCTCCCAAAAATTGGGCAAGTGTTAACCGGATGAACTAACAATTGAAGTAGTTTCGTTCTAAATGTTGGTTAAATAACATTGCCAATAGTGTCTTACCCAACTTGTATAACCTAATGCAATAGCTTGACTAACAATAAAATAATATATGAGCTTCCAACATTCGTATAATAATTTATCACATCCTGATTCAGCTAGTACAAAATGGGTAGGGGTTAAAATGTGAGAATGTTCGAACTTGGCATACAAACATATTGCTTCTTTAATTTAAAAAGTTGGGTTTTGAAGGGAATGTACATCATTGGCTTTTGCTGTAATTTTCAGAAATGAACTATTTGAGAGGTTAGTATAATAGATCAAATATCGTTACACTGACATTTTTGAAGTTTTGTGTTCGAAAAGGTTGGAAAAACAAAGAAAAACACAAATGATCAAGTAGTCTGGTTCCCTGACTCCACAAAAGATAAAATGGACCAATTTATAGATGATGGAAAATTGTAAGGCAAGGGAACCAGTCTAGCTGGCCTGCACCCGTTCATGAACATGTAACCAATAGCAAACAAAATTTGGACTGAAAAAATGGTAAATTTGGAGCAGTAGTTGAAAAATAGTTAGGTTTTTCCAACCACAGTTGGAAATGTTTACAAAAATACCATTTTCTTGAAAACGACTTCACACCAGGTGCCATAATTTTACAAGATGCTTGAGACTGTCATTTACCAACATCCTAGTAAGGTATTTCGTAAAAACTTGGTAGTTTTATTTTTCGATGTTTGCAAATGTTGTATATTCCCTTTAAACAGAACATTTCGACATTGCTTCCGACATCATTTCCCGATTCCCCATCTCGCACGAAATCCATGTCTTTTAAGATTTCATCAGTTTCGTTTTCTGAAGAAAACCGTTGCCTCTCAGAAGAAGGAAACATTTGTGAAGACATCTGGTCGAAGAGGTGTCATGGCGCCCTCTATTGGTGGGAAACTCCCATTAATTGACGGCTTCCACACAAACAGAATTGTGATCTGAATAAACTATTTACTTTTCGAATAATGGACCACATTGAAGACTTGTTATTGGGAATTAATATGTTGAATTCCTTCTGTGAAGGATAAGATAACAGCGAAACACGAAGGCTGAATGACCGCGACACAATAGCAGAGTTCGACGAACGAGGTTCATTGTCATATTTATTTACCCTGGACAAATATTTGTTATCAGTGAGGCATTTATAGGCCCGACGTCCACGAATGAAAATCAACAAGTTGTGTCTCTTTAAAACGCTCGATCGCTGAACTCTCAAGAACAAAACACTATCGGGGATCCGAGTCACCTTTCTGAAAATTGTCAAATGGCTTTTAATTAAAGTGTTTTCCTCTGGGTCATACAACGAATACCTCAAAAAATAGTGTTTCGTCAGACATCACTCCAAATTCCACAGAAGAATGTTCAGGCCAGTGGCGTCGCCAAGGGGGGGCCAGGGGGGGCATATGCCCCCCCTGGAAAACCTACTGCCCCCCCCCCGAGTGCCCCCCCCCCCATCAAATGCTGGTGCCCCCCCCCCCTATCCTCTGCAAAATTCTGCGCGTTGTTAAAATCATTACCTCAAAAAAAGCAATTTCTGGAGATATCTTCAGATCGAATTTAGCATCAAATGTGGCACCATTTTGCATCTAGCCCATCCTCCGTATGCGAAAATTTTCCAAAGGGGAGGGGGGCCTTAGACCCCTCCCCCAGGACGGCGATCCGTATCCACCTAAGTGCCCCCCCCCCCCATCAAATGCTGGTGCCCCCCCCCCCTGTGCCCCCCAGACTGAAAAGTCTGGTGACGCCACTGGTTCAGGCCTAAACATGTTGACGTTACAGCTCAGTACATGCATAACAGTTTTGATCACGAAACACGATTTCGTCGATAGCACTCTGTCAAAATAAGTCAATTTATTGACTGATCTTTGGGAAAATCACCTACATTTTTGTCGTTAATGGCAGCAAGCCAGTATTTAGTACCAGTACGATATTAAATCCAAGTATAAAGCTTCTTGATAATGTAGGTTAGTTCCGGAATAAATGCAAATGATCCTAGGCCCTATGCATTTAATTAAATAAAAACAATTTAACAGAAGTACATTTCTAGAATTATTGTGTTCCGTTCATACTGTTCATGTTACGAATACTGTTACCAGTGACTGAACCGGGGAAAAAAATGATAAAGTTTTAACTCAATGAGAAAATCTGTTCAAAGTTAAGTTATCAGTTGATTTTCAATTTTGATGTTTTACAAATAAAGTATAAAATATTTACGATGAACACCACGCCAAAATGGACCCGGTGCGTAGCAGCCATCTTGGATAGCAATGGCTTTGTTTTACTGCAGCAATCTGTTCACCCATTTGTGCAACCCTTGTTATTATACAAATAATGAATGTTTGTAAGTGCAATGGTAAGAATAAATTCATGAGGTGACAGATGAAAAGTTCCATTCCACGAGGCGAAGCCGAGTGGGATGGAACATTTTATCTGTCACCTCATGAAATTATTCTTTCCATTCCACGAACGTGAAACATTCATTATTTGTTTTACATAACACCTGAATAAATCCTTGTCATCTGATTGGTTGACTTTTAATAGCCAATTTAATCAGGTTAAAAACTGTTTCAAAGTTCGACAAGTTCATCATATTTATGTTAATGCAAACTGTTCAACAGGTTCAGAACAATCATATTCAATTTATCTCGATTAAAAACAGCGCCACCACCAGCAGCAGTGACACCGTGCAATGGAAGTTGCAATTCACCGTGCAATAGAACTTCCATTGCACTGTGCGCTGCGCGCCACGCGCGCGCCGTGCGTTGGTACGAATAATTCAATGACATGTGATCAACGATCCACCAATCAGATGACGGGGTTTTAATCAGGTGTTGTATAAAACAAAATAATGATGCCCTCTAAGATGGCCGCTACACATACGGTCTATTATTGGAGGAAGTTAGTACCAGACTTTGCATTTGAGGTCTGGGTTCATGTAGCTTCCAGCCGGACAGTTGAACGCAGCGCTGAACGCCTCGTTGTTCTGAAGCGCACCGATGACTCTGTGCGAACGAGAACGATAAAGCGAGATGGAGTTATCATTTTTGGGAAATGTATATCATAGAAATGATATTATAGAAATTATTATAGAAATAGTTGATTACGTTTACTTAAAACGCTAGAATTGGTAAATTAGGAAATATAGTTAGAGCTCTTTTTTTCATTTAGTAACTATAAGTGCTACCACGTATGTCGTTTTTGTTTTCGCATGCCCATGTTTACAAACCGTTTGTTGTTTGATTTGTCAAAATTACTTTATTTTCTCCTTGCTTCAACTTTTAAATCTGAGAGTGTTCTCGCAGAATAATGTTTAAAGCTTTACCAGTTGAGCGCTTTCTTTCAGTATTCTGTTTTATTACGTCAAATAACACTAGCAGTTTTCTCTGACAAGCTTATTGCAAGGGTGTTTTTTTTAATCTGGTCATGTTCTGAATCATACTGACACATAATTTCTTGATTTGGACATGTATAAATCCTTGATTTTAGAGGGCCGAGTACATTATTCAGACAAATGTGTAAAAACGAAGCCTGCTACAGATATATCATTTCACATTTTGCAGAGTGTGGCGCAATTTCATCGTAATGTGCCTTGGATCAGACATGGGAAATGAATCTTCTTCAAGTGTGACTCCAGAAACGTTTCAAGTCCGATACAAACGGAAACATCTTAACCTGTGACCTCTATATGATCACAACCAGAAGATGACCTGTATTGACCTAGAGTTCCCGAGAGAAGGATTTAAAATCGTCTGAAGCCAAGACGGACAATGAGCCCGAGGTTTTGAAAACACCTGACATACCTGTATGGGCCAGGACTGTGCACATCATTGTCGATGACGTCATCCGCTCCCTCTGGTGTGAACACACTGCACCATAGCTTGATTGCAAGAAATTAATTACAGTTTTTCATGAAAATGGCTCAATCTATAGTTGCATGATATTTCATTTTTCAAACTTGTATTGTACACTAAAGAGGGATAAGTGCAAAAACTTGAGTTTAGCCAAATTTTGGACGCGTTTTTTTAATGGATATTGGCCTTTGTGGTCATTGTCCAACCTCACATGAAAACTTATTAGGAAAGACAAAAGATACTTTTAAGTTCATGATGTTAAAAACTTCAAAATGGTTTTGAAGGAACGGGTCTGTAAATTGGAGCGAGAATCGGTTTCTAAATTATAAGGAGCTGAACATTACCTAAAAAGTGGAATGATCAAGAAACTCTGCTTTTTGGATTTATCCATTTGGGGGTTGGGTTTTGTGTGTTATGATGTAAAATTGATAATAGACCGATTGACTAAGCCCCGCCTCCAGATGTATTGACCAATCACAGCCTTGATTGTCCGAGAAATGTCCGCTATGCGTGCATTTGCAAATGACACGCCCAGCATATAGCACTGGGCATGCGCACGTGGGCAGGTGGGCGGGGTTGAATGGATCGGTTTTAATTGTATACCTGGGAATATGACAGGAAGAACATCTGCTCTTCGGTGAAGTCAATGCCAGGGAGACGAGGTTGCTTGGGTATGTTGCCCATGTTAGCCTTGACGCAAGAGGAAATGTTGTGGGGGAAAATATATATTGTACCATACATAAACGTGACGATATTTAAGAAGGGTGTATGTGTTCGTAATTACATGCATTAAAGGGAATACACATCATTTGCTTTTGCTGTAATTTTCAGAAATGGATGGAATTGGGGGGGTTGGAAATGTATAGCAAATATAGTTACACGGACTTTTTTGAGGTTTTGGGTTAGAAAATGCTATAAAAACCAAGAGAAACGATCATTTTCCTGTAGTCTGGTTCCCCTGACTCCATATAAGAAGAAACAGAGCAGTTTACATACATTGGGGAATTGTAAGGTCAGGGAACCAGTCTAGCTGGCTCGTACCCGTTCATAGGTTTCTAATCGATTGCAAAAAAGTGCGATGGTCAATTGGGGCCAGTATTTGAAGAAAAAAAACAGTTGTTTTCAACGCTGATCGGCCGATCAGCGTTGGAAATTGATACAAAAATACCACTTTTCTTGAAAATGACAGTATACCAGGTGCCATGATTTTACAGGATGCTTTACACTGTCATTCACTAACAGTGCAGCAAGGTATTTCAAATTGATTTGGTAGTTTTATTTTTTGATGTTTGCAAATGTTGTATTTTCCCTTTAAAGGATTCATCTCGAAAACAAACCTGCAAAAATTCCGCAAAAAAAATTCCCTGAACGTTCATTTTGTGTATTACTCAACTTGAGAGAATCTTACGAGGAAAGCTTATATTAGTGACCGAGATGCAATCAGCCGATAATCCTGGATTATCAAGATGGCTTCTGAAATAAAAATACACTTGCAATGAATATAATTTTAAGATGTGATTCATGCTGATGATACCTTGTAAGACTCTCTCAGGCCTCCGTTGTCAGCAATGTTTTCACCCTGCGTCTGACCTCCGTTCAGCTATAAAAAATAAATAAATAAATAAATAAATAAATAAAAAAGATATTAGATTTTGGAGAACTTCTAAATTTACAATGATTCAAAAGGTCAACCAGTCATTCCCTTGTGTTCCCTTTTTTTATGGAAACCGGAAAGCCATTGACAAAAATGATCCGATTGCCATTTCCTTTAGCGACCACATTAAAAGGGCGCTTTTAAACTGTGTGGCCGTTAGCGTAATTTTTATTCCTAGGAGGGTTAGGGGCAATGTCATGAATAATTCATGTTATTCATGAGACCGGACAATGACATCAACAGCATTGTAATAGGTTACTCAACTAGTTATTTACAATACATTAAAGCATTTTAAAGAACGGTTGTCGTCGAGCTACCACACAGTAGCCTAGTGGATAGCGAGATGAGCTATGGTACAAAGATCCCTGGTTCGAATCCACGTCGTCGCTGCTCATTTTCATCAACTATTTTTCTTCTCCAAATTTATCACTGAGATAATTTTAAATTAAGGGGAAAATAGAACGAGAACCTAAGTCTTGCAATGATTCAAAGGAAAAACTAAATTATTCATGACATTGCCCCTAACCCTCCTAGGAAAAAAAATACGCCGGCCGTCATCACTCAAGGAAGAAAAGCAAAACGTACGCTTCTATTCGTTTCTGGCATGATGAATTCGGAGTACTGGTCGATGATACACTGCGCCCTCTCCAGGAAATTGTCGATGGACTCTTGACGCCACCAGACTGTATAGTTGCCGTCTTTGTCGAAGCGTCGCCCTGTGAAAAAAAGACCAAGATATTGGAATTGAAACTATGTCTTGGAAATGGCGGCCTCCTATCAATCAATCATAACACTTACATAATCCTCCCTCTTTTAATTGAACCTTAACGTCATTTAGTCAGCAACATTTTTCATCGAAGTAGTACGTATATTTGATTGTGCTCAACGATACGATTTCTAATAAAAGCTAAATCTAAGATCAAATAAAACAAAGTTAACCCCTGAAAAATCCTTGCAACCGACCTTTTTAGTGCATGATAGGGACCTGGATATCTAGGTTAAAGTATCCTTTGCACTCATGGGCGTCGCCGGGATTGTTTTTTTTTTTGAGGGGGAGGCAAAGCACATTTTCCCCAAAAATATCCATGTACTTTCTCTAGCATCTATTCTCAATTTATCATATTTTTTTCGAGGGTGAGCAGGGGGACATTGCCCACCCCATCCCATTGACACCCCTGCAGACGCCCATTTTGTTAACTGTCTATTAAATTAACAGCAAATATGACTTACAACCTCTTTCTCATTTTTTTTTTCATTTCGCCTTTTTTTCGGGGGGGGGGGGCTTTTCCGGAGAGGGGGGGGGGGCAAGCGCCCCCCTTCCCCCCCCCCCTTCCCCCCCCCCCCCCCACCTCCCGACGCCCATCTTTACACCACAAAAAACTAGTCTCTTAAAGGTTCCAAATACAGACCTTTTCCAAAAATGTACTCAGTTTTACCCAGAGGTATCATAATCAGTATTGACTTTGGCTTAGTTTACCGGGGTTGTCAAAACCGTGGGTTATCTCAGGATTAATTTACCCGAGTTGTCAAAACCGTGGGTAATCTCGTGCCCAATGATGACACCGATTCCACCATAATTGGAGTACCTGAAATACAATAAAGAAAACTGGTTTAATTGGTTTAATGACAAGATTAACCCGACGGTAGCTTGAGAAACTACCATAAGCTAACTAGCATAATTGCTAAGGTGCTTACAGTTCACTTGTTCGCTTCATTTTTATTGGGAAAAATCTTGAAAGATTAAACTTTAAATATTAATGGATTCAGAGGATTGAAGTAGGCCTAATTGTTACTTACCAGGGAAGATCCTTGTGATAGAAAGGTGGTTGGAGAAGGGCCGCTGGAATCACTAGAACAAAAAAAGAACATTACGTCATGGCGTTGGCTGATTCGTGATTGGTCGTTGGGCGGGTACTGGTGTCAAATGGTGGGCCAGTTGATGTACTGATAATGGTTGTTTATAGTAGTTGGTCGGTCGGTTTGTCGGTCGGTTTGTCAGTTGGCCGGATGGTACCGGCCACCGCCAGCCGACGAAAGGCTTTCCTTGGTTGGTTGCAAGGGTTGGTTAAACTGGTGAGTAAATTGGCGTCTTGTATAACTGGGTAGTGAGTTTATTTTAGTTATTGGCTAGTTTGTGGCTAAAAGCAATGAGCGTGAGAGGAAAGGAGGCATAGACGGGTCGGTGGGTTGGTGAATGGATTAAGTGTTTGGTTGCTACACACTTTAAAAAAAATCCAGATCAGATTGATTCAGAATCTGGGTTCTATCGGCTCAACTCTTTCCGGGTAAAAAATGACACTCTTCATTTTGACTCGAAATAAAAATGTCATTTTGTCCCCAAAAAGTGTAATTTTTGACCCGAAAAGTGTCATTTTAGACCAGCAAAAAGGATGTCGAAATGGATGTTTTAGAGTGTTCCGGATTTTAGTTTAAAGCGTCTATTGTGATGTGCATGGATGTACCTGTACTACATACCCCTCCCCCCGGACCGATACACGAAGAGAGAACAAAGGAATTGTTTCAGTCCTCGGGTGTCCCTTGTTGAAGACCGTCCTCTGTCGTACAGTTATGTGCTTAGTCTATGGGAGAGTGTTATATTACAGAGACAAAGGGAAACACAAAGCATTGTCCTCAGTGGTGTAGTAAAACACGACTGTGTGGCTAGGTTGTGGATGATGGTTGGCAAAATGAAAGCTGACGTGGTGGCTAATGTAGGGTTGTCTTCTGTGTTACATAATTGTATAAAAGAAAGACATAAATAGCTTACAAATTCCATTAATGGCTGCACCGTACATAGCATTGACGACGGCCGGCCCGCCAAAAGACCACCTAGAAGCAGAACAGAAAAAAACTTTCTTTCTTTTCTCGTAAAAACAAACAAACAAACAAACAAACAAATGAAACAAACAAATAGATTATATTTACAGTTGTTGTTCATTCATGAACTGAAAGCCAAGACACAAAACCCAGGGTAGAGTTTGTTATTACAGAAGACCGCTGGTGCTTTTAAAAGCTATACACATAATTTTATAGGCTTTAGTCGAAGCGAAAAAGGACGACATTGGGACACGAGCTACTAAATTATCCAAACATTCAAAACCTACTCACAGTGAATAATCGTCTTTCACCTCTTCACGTAAGCGAGCCAATGCACCCTGGGATAGCCACTCGCGGTATCTCAGGTTATTCTGGAAATACTCGTCGTCCGTGGCAGTCAGCTTTTGGCAGAGAAAGAGACAATCGCATAACAGTCATCTTTCCGTTTCGGCTAGAAGAGGACCTCCCTTTTCTTTGTGATTTTTATACAGTACCAGAATGCGATACACACATACTGGAATGGGAGAGACTTTAACAAGCCAGGTAGAGACGACGTGAAAGAGTCTGTGCGAATATATATAGGTGCAGCGCTCCATTTGATTTTATTAATAAGGTCAATCCGTAAAACAAAGAGCAAACAGACTCGGAACCACAACTTGCTATCAAGAACTATCAGAGGAAGTATATTGACGGCAACCCCATAAGCAAACTATGGTCCAATGGTTCAAGGGCAGATCCAGGGGGAGAGCCAACGGGCGCCAGGCCCCTCCCCCCCCCCCAAAAAAAAAAAAAAACGAACCCAATTTTATTAATTTTTTTAGTGACGTCGCAATAAAGGCAGGCACTGCGAACACCACTATCTTTTCCTCAGGAAAAAAGGGGTTAAAGTGGTAAGAAATTGCCTCAAATCGCACCACAGTGCATCTAAAATCCAACAAATTTTCGGGGCCCTTAAGCGGGCCCGAACCCCTCGCCGTAACCGTGTTCGATTCATGTGCCGTGGTACGTGGGTTCGAACCTTGACTGGGAACATGGGATGCTGGTGTTCTTTGGCAAGACACTTGACTATAATCGCCTCTCTCCACCCAGGAGTATAAATGGGAACCTACGAAGGCATGGGCGTCGCGAGGGGGGGACAAGGGGGGCACTTGCCCCCCCTGGAAAAGCAAAAAAAAAAAAAAAAAAAAAAAAAAAAGAGGCGCGAAGACAAAGTGGTGTAAATTTAATGAGTTGGGGGGGGGCAAAATGTCCCTGCCCCACTCTAAAACTGATAAATCGAGAATGTGTTGAGAAATACAATCATTTTTTGGCAAAAAAAAATTTTGCCCCCCCTCTAGAAAAAATCCTGGCGACGCCCATGTACGAAGGTGGAAAGCAGATTGCGCTGATCTCAACCTGCTGCAGAGAAATGGTCTCGTGGTCTGATGAACAGGGGTAAGACAGTGTGAAGTACCGTGAAACCTTTGGAATAAATAATAATAATAATAATAATAGTGGATATTTATAAAGCGCACGTATCCACCAGGACTGGTGCTCAAGGCGCTACATCATTATTACCCCTGCCCATTGGGCCCATGAAACATTCCAAATACCATCTCAGCTCCCTGGGGAGTATACAGCTCGATGCAGCCTGTTAGGCGCAAGGCAGCTAATTCAATCACAATAACCATCTCGGCGCCCTAACAGGTACCCATTTACGTGACAAAGTGCCTTGCCCAAGGGCACACGCACCATGACCCCGCCATGACTCGAACCCACAACCTGCAGCTTTACCCGCAGACCACGAATCAGTGCCCTTAACCACGAGGCCACAGTACTCCACGCTATATCAACACCATAAACTGTGTTATTGCCGTGTAACTGTGCTATTTTTTGTCAAATACATGCACGGCGGCATCCCGGTTACCCTGGCACCCTAACATACACATGGGGTGGAATCTAACATTATTGTCACCTAAAACTACCCAATTTGTTTTGGGTTGTTTTTTTGCTACTTACATCGGCATACTTCGCATCAAGCTTGGTGTTGTTTTTGATCCATTCTGGGTAACCAATTGCGATGTCCATAGCATCTGCCTATGGGGATGATAATAACAACAAAAATCGCTGAAAACGGCTACTTTGCATTTCCATAAAATTATATCTTTCTAATAAAAATAACTAAAGCCAGTAAACAAGGCCTGATTTACACCTGTTATACGTGGTAACACAACGCACATGAATCAATAATTGATGACCGAGTCCAGAGTTACGAAAAGCCTTCCAATCGTCAAAGTGATTTGGGGCTTTGCAAGTTAAATACATTTGAGAATTCACAGAGAAATGGTTCCGAGATATATTTTTCGAGTCAAGCTCTGACCACAGTGACCGAAACGATGGGTTTCGTATTTCTTCTTCTTCTCAGAACTTGACCATATCTCCTTGGAGACAGTTACTTCGAAATGATGTATACCAGTTTGTGGTATGACTCACACGGATCTTATTCATAACGACCCTTTGACCTTCGTACTGTCACCTTGATGACCTTTGACCTTACCTTTTCAGCCACCACGCCCTTGTCTTCCTCCTGCAGCCAGTCATTTGTTTTCAGCATGGATTTGAAAGCCGTCCGCACATTGTGAACTATTTCAAGCGTCTACAGGGGGGAAAGCAGATTTTGTTAACAAAAGTATCGCATTTCTTATGGAAATACTGAGTCACTGGTAGTACTGCGCATGCGCCTACGTGAGGATTGTGAATGTTCAACCAATAAACGGTGAAAGGCACCGGATTTCATAGGAGTCAAAATTTCTTGTGACACTGGAAAATTGTTTGAGACCAGCCAGCCCACCAGACTTTTTCAACCGTTTAAGACCGGCCACGGGACAAGCTCTCGACCAAAAGGAATGGGTAAGCTGTCTAAGGTATTAATGGGGCACGCGTACGGTTGCATCGCTGGTTACCAACAGCCAGGCGCGCATCATAAAGCATGACGGGGAGCCAGGATCAAGAAGATTCGCGATGACATTTTGAACATCGATTGATGAGAGACGTTCAGACTTTGCTATTAGTGCGCATGCCCAGTTTACGTCACAAATCAGCCACTAGTTGACTAATCATCCTCGTCTGAACTGCTTCTTTGTTGTCCATACCTTTTGTATCGTATCTTCAGTGAAGTGTTCATCCACGTACATCCTACCGCTGATAAACATGTATTGGTCATTGGCGTTGTTGACGCATGTCTTCCAGCGAGCTGTAGGAGACATCGTTTTGTTCACTTCCAGTTGGTACTCGTGCTGGATGGCTAGGAATGTCTCGTTCAGGAAGGGGACCATCTCACTCACCAGACACCAGATCATGTAGTTGGCCTTGACTCTGACGGGAAAAGAAAAAACAAACTGACCTATCTTTAAAGTTTCCCTGCACACGATTTGCTTCCAGAAATGATTATCCCTTTCTTGTCCGATATCAGATGGCGTGTTCCCATTATGATATCAGATGATATCATATAATGGGAAGTGATGAGTCTCCAAATACAATAAATATATGCAAGAATGGTATCGCAGTCTAGATTTAGGCTATTATGACAAAGGCCTTCCACTATTCCATAACACATCCCATTTCACCCCAATCCGACAGGTGGGGCCTATTTAAATACTTTCGACATGAAATATCGATGCTGCTACGACTTAACCGCTAGTCCCATTTAATAGCCCGGCAAGCGACATTCTGCAAAACAACGATGGTCACGGAGGATTTTATGTTAATTGTTAGTACTTTTTCAAAGTTCTTTCAATGAATTCCTTCCATGAAATCCAGCTTAGGATGGTCCTTTTCCTATTAATTCTTTACCCACCTGTTGTCTTGGTCTTTTATCCACATGGTGACATTGCCGATATAGTTTGGGCTGTAGTTGAAGATTGGCTCGTCGTCTGTTACTCCTGGGTCAACGCTTGCCGGCAACATTAGTTGAAAGAAACGCGTCCAGTCGATCTTGAAAAAAAAAAATATCCTAACAGACTGTGTTTAAAAGTGCGGTTGGATGATAATTTGGGTATAATGTGCAAATTTGATAAAGAATTAATAGTTTCAACAATTTGTGTTATAAAGTTGTATGGAGTGCACAGTAATTGGCGAAACCTTGCGTATTGGATCTAACTTAATTTTAACTGTCTCGAAACTCTAAATATATGAGAATTCTGCTTTGTTGCGTCTAGGCCCCTTTAACGACTCATATCATGATATTTGTATGAAACGTCTACTTGTGAAGAAATGCCCATCAACAACAACGGAAAGTCTGAACATGTACCAAGTCTCGAGGCAATAATGTCAAATCTTTACCACATCCATTCCAATTTCCTTGAGAGTGTTTTCAGTGGTACCAGAGTATGGATGCAATACAGTAATCTGTAGGAAAAAAAAGAAACGCAATAATATTAAAATTTTGTACTTTCTTTACCTGTCATATATTTAACATATAAATAAATATCAGTTTCATATACTTAGGAGAATGACAATTGCATTCCATAATACCATAGCGAATGAGTAAAAATCAAAATCATATCACACCCTTAAAATACGTCAATATAGGCTGCGAGATGTGTAAATTGGATAGGGGTGCATTTCGAAATAAATAAGCCAATTTTCAAATCCAATTGGCCTTTCCAGAAAAAAACATCGACAAGGAAAGAATCGATGACGAATTTCTACGAATGTCTTACGTTAGCCATATTCGACTCGAACTCGATGAGGTTCTTCATATCCTCCTTCGCTACTGTCTCGTCTGCGCCAAGAGCCACGGCGATGTCAATCATGTACTGGAGGTACGCTTTCCTCTCCTGAAAGAAAACGTTGGTGAAAAAAAACGTAATTGTATGAAATCATGAGACCATATGGAGGGCCCAAAACACAATCGGGCACAATTTCACCGTGCACTTTGCACTGAGTATTGCGACGATGACGGGACGCAGTCGTGGCAAGTTGGAGGGAACGCCCTCGTAACACTATATCAATGTGCTTGCCAAAGACCTCCATGCATGGGGGCCGTGCCAAACGGAATTTGAAGAAACTTGCCATCAACTGGGATAATTTATGACTAACAAAGAGTTCAACGTGCTGGCAAATATAGGCAGCTGTTTGATTAGTATGGAAGGGAACAGGGGACATGCATCACCTACCTTCGAATAACTCTCATCCAAAAGGATCTTTATCCCCAATTCCTCAGAATAGTCTCGTTCGTCAATCTGGAGAAAACAAATGCAAATTAAAGTCGTTATCATAAAGATGCAGTGTCATAAATGGTGATACGTAAAACGTATTTTCAGTCTGTATTGTATCCGATGCGTATAGATACGCCTATACAGGGCGACCCAAAAAAATGCAACCCTAAAACAATTGCCTTTGTCAAAAAACGTGATAGGTTAATTTTTATTTTTCGGATATCAGATTAAAGCTGAGAGCTTTTTCTTTCAAAGACTGAAAAACAATCATGAAAATAGCTTATTGGGATGCTGAGAGAATGCCAATTATGTATAAGAAGTGATTTTTCTTCCTGTACACAAACATTACCACATTAAGGGATTTACACTGTATCTATTTGTGCATGTCCTAATACAAAGAACACGGCACCTACTATGACAAGAGAACAAATGAATTTCATGGAAATACCTTTTATTTTCTACCTGAACATTTAATCCTTTTTAGTCCTATTTCAAACATTTTCAGCATCATAAATATGTCAAAATACTAAAGAAATGGCACAAATGAAAGATAGTTGCACAGTGAGCTTACAGTAAAATGTTTCACTGTTTGAAGCTTTTGTGTACAAGATGAAAAATCACTTCCTTTACATAATTGGCATTTTCTCAGCAACCCAATGTGTTATTTTCATGATTTTTTTTTTCAGTATTTGAAAGGAAAAGAAGCTACCAGCTATAATCTGATATCCAAAACATAAAAATTCACCGATCACGTTTTTGGAAAAAAGCAAATATTTCAGGGTTGCATTTTTGGGGGGTCACCCTGTATAACGCGCTCATGGAAAGGCTCATGGAAAGACTGTTTCATTTCTATTTCAACAATACAACTTAAGTCACCGCAATATCCAAAGCAATCTGAGCTTATTGTGGTGCTCGTTTTCATTGTGTGGATGGAATCTCTCGCATATAAACACGTAATGGCAAATAACGGGATTTTCCTTACCAAAGTCTTCACACCCCGCAATTGCGTCTTCTCGATGCCGACCTTTGGTACCACGAAAAACGGAGTGGACGCCTGATAAAAAAAAAAAATATTGCAAAAATACGTTACAACATGTCTGACGTCACGATGACGACATCGGGTGATTTTTGTTGATGATTTATTTATTTTTTGTTATTTCATTCTACTCACAAAATTTGACACTGTCTTTGCTCAGATCGACTCCACACTTGACACACAGAATAAGATCATATGACAAGTGCCGTCATCATGACGTAATTATGGGCAAACATCTTTTTGTTAGATCATACATATTTTGCACAAAAATGTACAAAATGTGTGACGTCATCATGACGTCATCATAATCCGATCGCTATGAAACTTTGTGCGAATGTAAATAATAATACTAGTATTCAAAAATGTATACGTTTTAGCTACTATAGCAAAATATTATAATTTGCACTTTGTGCACGAAATGACTGTGCTTCACATGACTGCAAATCGGCAAAAAAAAAAAAACTCACAAAAAAAATCGTAATGCGGAAAACCCAAAACATGCAGAACCCAAACCCAAATAAATATTTACAAAAATATGTATCACCAAAAATAATTATGACTTGGAAGCCCATTTATTAAACTATTTTTCAATTTAAAAAAAATGATTTCAATTACTCCACGTTAATTTTTTTATCATTTTTTAAACAAGGTAACCCCAAAATCAGTTTCGTCCAAAAAAGCAATGTATTGTGTGTTCTGACTGTTTGGGACAACAAAGAAAATGACACATAATACTTGATTCAACAACTGAAGTACATAAATATCTGTATTAACAACTCTGCTTAGTGCTTGGGCTTTGCAAAATCCTTTTTTTTTTAAGGGTGAGCCTTCAAAAGGACTTTGTTGAATATTTTTAACTTTTAAACTGAGGTTTTATCGCTGGTGATGTTTGAAGACAATTTGTGAAATCGCATTTAGTGATAAAAAAAAATAACGTGTAGAGCAACTGAAGTAAATTTTGCACTGAAAAGTAGTTAAATAAATGGGCTTCCAATGGTGCTCAATATTGTTTTAAATATGAAATATATTTATTTGTGTTTGGGTTCCACTTTTTTTACTCGCCCTGCACGATCTGTTTTCAGACATACATCGACCTCTAATCTTGTATGTCTTTGTGCTAATTTCACAGAGCGTTGATTTACATCAGCGTAGATTTATCGGTGAATAAACTACGTTGCACTTCAACTCTTCAATATCTAGCAAAGATATAGTCCCGATTGTTTTGAAAATACAGGCATACTTTTTCCTATTACATGTAAATACAGACAATACTACAAATAATATTATACACTCTTTAATACCCGTCTCTTTTGAGGGTCAAAATGACATTCTATGAGTCACTTTTCAATACCACAAAACGCGGGAAGGAGTTATTTTGACACAAAAATCGTATTTTGGAAGGAGAAATGTGTCACTGTTCATTCTGACTCAGAAGAATGTCTGGTCAAATCGAACACGGAATCCGGGTCGAACTTGTGTGTCCTAAAGAGCTTACAGTCAACTTGTGCTTGGTCTTGTTGTTAGGATCGGTCACCGTGTCTATGTACACAATGATCTGTACGCCGTGTGTGCCCCTGAGGGCGGCCCAGAGTTTCTCGAAGTCGAAGGTGGTGGCGTTCCAGTTACCGCCGGCAGGGGTAGACCCCAGCACCGGCCAGCCGCCCAGCGAAGTCAGCACGTCCGTCAGAGGTTTGGCTCCCAACTCATTGATGGTGTCTGTTGGATAAGTGCGAAAACTGAAGTCTCAAATTGACTGTGTTATTGACTTGTTATCTTTATATAACTGAATAACTATAGATATTTTTTAAAGTTCAATCTAACTGCTAACGATGCGCACAAATATCAACGACGTATTACAATCGCTAAAAAAATATGTGTGAGTACAGCCTGTCGTTGACATTAATAGAAGTCGTCATTTTTTTTTTTTTTGGGGGGGGGTAGGGGTAAAAAGTTGTAAAGCAAATTCACTCTGATAATATTTTTTAAAGACAACTTCGTAATTTGAGTGTGATTCCTGTTCTAAATAGCCAAACTGATAATTCATAGATGGTGTCCTTTGCTTGGTAGATGAGACAACTTACCCAGATCTTCGCAAGACTGGTAGTCGTTCCTTATGATGTGATACGACGAGGGTTCGCCGGCAATGGGGCTCCGTTCAAATAGAACTGATAAAGAAATGACCAACACGGCAGTTTTAATGACAAATTCTTGTACAGCGTACTCAAACAATCAGTAAAATATCACGACAATGACAACACTAGATCAGCGACGACATTCACCGATGACGCTACTGTCAATGAAGATGTCTGACTGATTTATACGGTGCTGCCATTGTCGCCCTTAAAATCTTTATGACAACATTAATGACGGCAGGAAAAGAACCGAAAGTGGGCGTGATTAAGATATTGATGGCAATGAAAAAAGATGGTGGTAATGTTGATGATAGAAACAAGGGCCATGATAATGACGGGGATGTGACGATGAGGGTGACATGTCACAGACACAATCAGTTAAAGGAGACAAATGTGAGAAGGTCGGATAAGATGACATTTAGGGGCATGAGTTACCTTTGAGCTTGTCCTTCAAATCGTCTCTCAGTGAACTGAAAACAGAGACTTTAATCTGGTCCTCTGGTACGGTGTGTCGCTGGTTCCAGCCCCCGCAGGCGTACTCGAAGAAATTATCGCAGGGATTCACGCTCTGATTCATATTACTCAGGTATGCATATGCTGTAGAAATGAAGAGACAACACGATATAAGACGTAAAACAAAATTTAAAACGTAAAACAAAATCTTGCCCAAGTTTCACATTTTCGTTGATGAACATCGGCAATTCGAAAGTGTTTTCTCACCAGTAATTACATCTTAGGTGGAAACTTGGTTCATTAAGTTCACACTTTTCCACAATGTGTCATTGCGGTCTCTCTGAACTGTGACATTCCTTCGGGGCAATAGTTGAAAGGGACTGTAGCTAGTGTCGGTCATGTTGTCACCCGTGTGACCTGGTCATTCAGATAATGTGCAGGGTATGATATCCCTGTCTTATTACCGGAGTCATAGCATTGCTTTGTCGTGCACGTCTCCCGATCCACGGGCACCGGTGGTTTATTTGCCTTCAGTTCGTCCAGCTTGGCGGCAATGTCGTTCTTCTGTACTGCGAAAACAACTGGAAAACACGTAAACAAACTCGTCAAATTCTGAAGACAAACATACAGTGCGACAGGCAGAATATTTCTTAAGAGGGGGGTGGTGGTCGGGGGGGGGGGGTACCAGCATTTTATGTGAGCACCAAAGGCGGATCAACGACAAAATTTGCCCAAATTTTCTTGGCCGAATGGCCAGCCGCCCCCCCCCCCTCCCCGGCTATGCCACTGCGAACATACCAACGTCATCGAAACGTCGGGTTAATGGTGGCCCACTGCAGCTTATACAATGAATACACCCGTTGCTGATGTCAAATCTTTTAACTCGAGACCTTGCAAACATTCAAGTCTGATTAACAAAATAGCATCAGACAAACCCAAACAAAATGTTTCAATATAGATCTTTTCCACCGTGTTCAAAGGGGAGTCGCCAGACCATGTTGCTTAGGAAATGTTTAGTGCTAAGCATGAGCCGTCTGAGAACCAGCCATGAACAATATGATACACTGCGTGACTAAATGGCTGGTAACCTGTCTTTGCTGAGCAACTTCTGTCTGAGCTTAGTAAAGTACAATGCTGAGCACGGTTGGTCCTTTGTAAATTTCCTTAAATTGCCGGTCTCTGTATCTGAGAAACCGGGGTGTTTCACGAAGAATTTCAAACAGTAAAATCTTAGTTATCAAACGGTAAGTGAGAATCAACCTTAGATTAATTAATCGCAAGTTTTTAATGGTTTCAGATTCATTGGTTTCATTCATTTTATCAATATTGTAAGGGTTTTCGACCCCCCCCCCGGAAAAAGCTCGATCTCTACTCACTTGTGGTAATCATTAGGGCGATGGTGACAGCAGCGAAGATTCCCACCAAAATAAAGGGAATTTTACTGGGCGACTTGGAGACGACAGAGTCCTCGCGCGCCAGCTGAGCCTTGGAAGTTGTAAGCTTATCCTTCATGGTGGGGGCTTTACTCCAAATTGATATGTGTTGTTCGGCAGAAGTTGAGGTGAGAGGCGTGGTTAGGGGAGTGGAAAGGGAGGTATGAGACTCCCCTACAATTGAAGTTTCAATTTGGGAACTAAGACTCGATAAAAGTGTTGTCTTGCTTGGGTAATCAGTTGCAAGGGCTGTGGTAGATCGACCTCTGCTATATCAAGAAGTAGAAGAAGTCGTAAATAAAAGTTTCATTCAACTTACACGCCTTGTGAATGTTGGAGCATATATGTAGCTGAATGGTTGGAGAGAAGGTAAAATCTGGCAGTCCTACAGCCAGTGGGGGAAGACATTTTGTGAGCTTTCTTTGCATAGCTGGTCACATGATCGCATACCACATGCACCTGTTGTGCCTTGTTGACAGAATGAACCTGTGACATGGGCCTCGTCTATGCTGAAAGTTCCAAATGCTAATTCTCTCTGGGAGATCGTTTTGTCCTGTGGGGGAGTTATCAGGGTTAGTGACCTGGGAACTGACAACTTGAACATTATGTTTCAAGGTCTGGTACACGATTCTTGGGAGGGGGTGTTTAACACGGGAGGGTCACATGGGTCAGAAACAAGGAAAAAACTCACGAAGACGGATCCTACCAGTAGTAATCTGTGAGATCTTGGCTGAGCTGAACGTCGTTCACACAACGGGCATGCAGCGGGACAAAAGTTGAGACCCTTGGACTTTTGGAGAGAAGTTTATGTTCAGCGTCAGATATGGATGAGGAGGAAAAAAGTCTATTCCTTCCTCCATGACTACAGTATTGGAAGAGGGTGGTGGTGTGGATTGGGGCCTGGGACGTCTGCGCGTTTATGTCTGCGATGTTGTTGCTTGGCAAGCAAGCCACCAATCTTCTTGTTCCTCATGTTGGGATAAACAGAGTCAATGTTTATAGATAGGCCCCTTTCAATCTCATCATCGAAATTCTTATTAATTTGTTGTGTTTCTCCTCCCAACCCGATATGCTTATGAGTCTCTACATGTTTGTTTCTTGTACCTCTGTCAGTTTGCCTCTGAAGAAGAATTTGTTAAGATCGCAACGTCAGGCCGCATTAAATTTTTAGATTTGTAGGTCAATCCAGTCAGAGTTTGCAGCAGTCCTTAATGTCATCGTTTGTTTTTAAGAATTATTGTTCAACCAATACACATTTTTTTGTCATATCAAATGTGACTCATAATAAGAAATCCCTGTTCTACGATGTGAATTACTAGAAATTGACGCCAACCGCTCTGATTTGCTGAACTGCATGTATAGCTTGGCTCCTGAGACAATTTCTAGATGGCCTTCAACATCTTGCAAGAATCAATCACACTGTGCAGACTGGCTGTGATGTTATTCGATAGGATCACCCTACAAGGTGCTTGGGTCGACCCGGTACGGTCTTAATGGGTCACACCGTTGCCATAGCGACGCGTCTCCCCATTGCGTTAAAGGAGCACACACTGACAGCCTCGCTGGAAGATTTACAGTCTGCGAAACACACACTTTTTATTGGGCATCACCGCATCAGAGAAATCCCAAGTTTAGAATGAGCAAGGATTGGTATAACAGATGTGTGGGTGATTTTGAGTGAAGGTATAGTCCCGAATACAAGATCATATGACGATTAAGTAAGATTTGAGGCTTTGCATGGTGGAGATACTAAATAATGAAAGGTTTGCGGAAACACCATGTGCGAATAATTTCTCAACTAAGAGAATGGTTCTGAAAAGAACCAGAGGTATAAACTCGACGTTCCGGTTAGTATGCTCTGATCGACCTCTCCTGAAAACGGTCAGAGCATACTGACCGGAACGTCGAGTTTATACCTCTGGTTCTTTTCAGAACCATTCTCTTAGTTGAGAAATTATTCGCACATGGTGTTTCCCGGCAAACCTTTCATTATCACGATTGTTTTCAGTATACCATGGAGGGTAAAAAATACATTTAGCGGCCTATTATATGTAAATGCATGCATGTCATTCATTAAAAATACAACGTTCGTGCTCTACGGTAAAGTTTAACCTGTTCAGCAACATTTCAAAATGTTAGGAGCCAGAGATAATTTTAAGCTATATAATCTGAAAATGACGAAGTGTACACCTCATATACCTTTTATGTGTAATTTTAGTTCGTGGAAGCCTGTTGAGCACAGCGGTCCCCTGTACTCGGTCATTGTTATCACTTCTCGATAATGTTGACACAACGGAACAGACGATTATTATCATGAAACCTCGTGCGTCGAATGACTCCCATGTATCTGCATGGTGACCCTTTTATGTTGTTGTTGTTGTTGTTGGGAAGGAACAAGGACGAACTTGTTTTTTCATACTCATGATTTCTTGGGGTTTTCTTTTTAGGGAGGGGATGACTTTTGGATGGGGACTTGCAGGGCTGAGACTGCGGGGGGGGGGGGGCTCGGGGACCTGGGAGAATAGGGGGGAATGGGTGTGCACTCAGTGGTTATGATAACGCTGAAAAGACTAATTTTACCTTCCCAAATTTTTAAATGAATGTTAACCAAGTTGGTTGTTGAGATTGTTCATAATTCCACCTCAGACTGTTACTTTGTATAAATCGTGTACTCTGTTTAATTTAAACTGGCTGTGGGGTTTTGAAGCTCTGGTTTCACAGAAAAATTGAACTCCCGAAATCATATTGTTGTTAATTTAATGGGTTTAGGGAGGGGGCAAATGTCCCTGCCCACCCTCGAAAAAAGATCAATCGGGAAAATGCTGGAAAATATAGAGGTGTTTTTTTGGGAGGGGGGGAAATATGTGCTTTGCCCCCCTCTAGAAAAAAATCCTGGCGACGCCCATGGTTCGCGGCAATTAATGCGTAATTTCTTGGAAATAAAAAAAATGCACTCATGATAATCTCCCAACACGATCCGGGAAAGCAACATAGGCCCTACGTCAGATGTTAGCTTGCAGGTCACGTGATTTGATTATTGTTTTCTTTTCTATTCTCGTTTCTATTTTTCGGGCGGAGAGCACGGCAATCACAATCATCCCTTGAAAGAGGTAAAACAGATATTACGAAATAACGTGTGGACACCTCACGAAACTCAAAAGAGTCTGGTAAATATGGGTTGATATTTTGCCAGTGAGTTGGCCAAGGTACCAACTCTTTGGCAAATTCCTCCCAAAAATTGGGCAAGTGTTACCCGGATGAACTAACAATTGAAGTAGTTTCGTTCTAAATGTTGGTTAAATAACATTGCCAATAGTGTCTTACCCAACTTGTATAACCTAATGCAATAGCTTGACTAACAATAAAATAATATATGAGCTTCCAAACATTCGTATAATAATTTATCACATCCTGATTCAGCTAGTACAAAATGGGTAGGGGTTAAAATGTGAGAATGTTCGAACTTGGCATACAAACATATTGCTTCTTTAATTTAAAAAGTTGGGTTTTGAAGGGAATGTACATCATTGGCTTTTGCTGTAATTTTCAGAAATGAACTATTTGAGAGGTTAGTATAATAGATCAAATATCGTTACACTGACATTTTTGAAGTTTTGTGTTCGAAAAGGTTGGAAAAACAAAGAAAAACACAAATGATCAATGATCCCTGACTCCACAAAAGATAAAATGGACCAATTTATAGATGATGGAAAATTGTAAGGCAAGGGAACCAGTCTAGCTGGCCTGCACCCGTTCATGAACATGTAACCAATAGCAAACAAAATTTGGACTGAAAAAATGGTAAATTTGGAGCAGTAGTTGAAAAATAGTTAGGTTTTTCCAACGCTGGTCGGCCGACCACCGTTGGAAATGTTTACAAAAATACCATTTTCTTGAAAACGACTTCACACCAGGTGCCATAATTTTACAAGATGCTTGAGACTGTCATTTACCAACATCCTAGTAAGGTATTTCGTAAAAACTTGGTAGTTTTATTTTTCGATGTTTGCAAATGTTGTATATTCCCTTTAAACAGAACATTTCGACATTGCTTCCGACATCATTTCCCGATTCCCCATCTCGCACGAAATCCATGTCTTTTAAGATTTCATCAGTTTCGTTTTCTGAAGAAAACCGTTGCCTCTCAGAAGAAGGAAACATTTGTGAAGACATCTGGTCGAAGAGGTGTCATGGCGCCCTCTAATGGTGGGAAACTCCCATTAATTGACGGCTTCCACACAAACAGAATTGTGATCTGAATAAACTATTTACTTTTCGAATAATGGACCACATTGAAGACTTGTTATTGGGAATTAATATGTTGAATTCCTTCTGTGAAGGATAAGATAACAGCGAAACACGAAGGCTGAATGACCGCGACACAATAGCAGGAGTTCGACGAACGAGGTTCATTGTCATATTTATATACCCTGGACAAATATTTGTTATCAGTGAGGCATTTATAGGCCCGACGTCCACGAATGAAAATCAACAAGTTGTGTCTCTTTAAAACGCTCGATCGCTGAACTCTCATAACAAAACACTATCGGGGATCCGAGTCACCTTTCTGAAAATTGTCAAATGGCTTTTAATTAAAGTGTTTTCCTCTGGGTCATACAACGAATACCTCAAAAAATAGTGTTTCGTCAGACATCACTCCAAATTCCACAGAAGAATGTTCAGGCCAGTGGCGTCGCCAAGGGGGGGCCAGGGGGGGCATGTGCCCCCCCTGGAAAACCTAGTGCCCCCCCCCCCCGAGTGCCCCCCCCCCCCATCAAATGCTGGTGCCCCCCCCCCCCTATCCTCTGCAAAATTCTGCGCGTTGTTAAAATCATTACCTCAAAAATAGCAATTTCTGGAGATATCTTCAGATCGAATTTAGCATCAAATGTGGCACCATTTTGCATCTAGCCCATCCTCCGTATGCGAAAATTTTCCAAAGGGGAGGGGGTACCCCCTCCCCTTAGACCCCTCCCCCAGGACGGCGATCCGTATCCACCTAAGTGCCCCCCCCCCATCAAATGCTGGTGCCCCCCCCCCTGTGCCCCCCAGACTGAAAAGTCTGGTGACGCCACTGGTTCAGGCCTAAACATGTTGACGTTACAGCTCAGTACATGCATAACAGTTTTGATCACGAAACACGATTTCGTCGATAGCACTCTGTCAAAATAAGTCAATTTATTGACTGATCTTTGGGAAAATCACCTACATTTTTGTCGTTAATGGCAGCAAGCCAGTATTTAGTACCAGTACGATATTAAATCCAAGTATAAAGCTTCTTGATAATGTAGGTTAGTTCCGGAATAAATGCAAATGATCCTAGGCCCTATGCATTTAATTAAATAAAAACAATTTAACAGAAGTACATTTCTAGAATTATTGTGTTCCGTTCATACTGTTCATGTTACGAATACTGTTACCAGTGACTGAACCGGGGAAAAAAATGATAAAGTTTTAACTCAATAAGAAAATCTGTTCAAAGTTAAGTTATCAGTTGATTTTCAATTTTGATGTTTTACAA